ACCAGGATGAGCAATCAACAATGCATAAGCGAAACAATCAAACGAGAATCAGCAGACAGACCCTGCGTAAAACTCAACAATACAATACGAATTCAACCAAGAACAACACAACAACGCATTCTATCCAATTCTTTACCCAGATAGAATTGCCTCAGACCTCAACATTTGACAACGCTCCTCTGCCTTCTGGGCCTTAGCCTGATGAACACTGCAAACCAAACCAATTGGTTAACCCAAACCGAACCAGCCCAAACTGGTTAACCAAACCAATTGGAGTTTCCCCTAAACCGGATTAGGGTTCCTGAAAATAAAAATAACCAGCCGACTTCGAAAGCACGCTGAGAATGGAGCGTACCTCGGAATCATGATCGGAAACATGATCTAGAATCGTGAGATCGGGACCTTTCCAAAGCTATATAGATAGCCTCCTAATTCCTTCTGGTTCGATAGGAAAACTCTCACGACGTGGACTGATCGCAGATCCAATTCTGCACGAATCTTTCTCGAAAAACAACCATAACTCTCAGAATACTAATCCAAATGACAAACCGATTTCGTCCAAAGCTAGATACGAGAGTGGAGAACTTACCCTAGAAGTTTCACTCTAATCCGATCTGATTAGACTATTCGTTCCTCTACTCTTCTAGAACAGCCAGAACTGTCTCCAAAACGACAATCTCTTCTTCTCTCTCACAACCCACGAAAATCCTCTCTCTCCACTCTGATTTCTGAGTGTTTTCTGCCCAAAAACGCAGCCTAAACACGGCTGCTCCTTTTTTATACTGCCCCTCCCCTAACCAACCACGCGAACTGGACAATTTAAAATCGAACCTGTCGGTTCAAAATCAACCCGTGTCGATCGACGCACCAACCAAAAATCCATTTTTTGGTTCACGGGTGTTACAAAAAATAGTATTTTAGTGATATAGATGGCCAGGGTTGGCCGGAAGTAAGATTATGAGAAATCAAAAAGAGACTACGTTTTCGAAGAATTAAAAAGAAAGGGCTTAAGTGTTTAGGAATGGTGAGATTTTACGAAAGAAGTAAAAAGTTCATCTCTTCTCTTGTACAATGGTTAAGGATTTATAGGATTTTGTACGTTCGTGATGCATCATAAGCCATGTCAGATTTGGATCCATCGCTCTAGAAATCTATGAGGCACATGAGTGCTTTTCATCTAACACATTTTTCTTTATGAGCCAGCTGCCCGACACTACAGTCTCAAGGTGCAGAGTAACACATTTACCATACGAGGTTTAGTGCACAACGCAGCGGATCAAGCTTTTTGAGAGATTCTTCGGAAGCAGTCTTGCTTGCTTTAATAATTTCGTGGAATAGAAGCGGGCTGGTTGTTTCACATATCACATGCGTAAGGTGAATAATATTAACATTTTGATTGAAAAACAATATAATTGGGTTTGAATAACTTGAAATTCGCGTTTTAAAGTGAATGAATATTCATAGTTAGCCCATGTTATTGATACAAAAATCCGGACCCATGTCCTACTTCCCGTTGATTATATTACATGTAGGTTTGACCATCCAGTCTCTGGCCCTATTCTACCTCCACAGTGTGGTCACACCATTGGGAGGGGGGGTGAATATATGTAACCTAACCTGTCAAGTTACCGAAATCATTGCTAATCAAATTCAAATACATCTAGAGTCAGTCTAATACATCAATTATCCAAGTGGCGGTAAATTTAATTACATGTGGCATTAGAAGATTTATCTAAACATTAGTATATTTTTAAAATAAATTTGCAATTTATTTGTTTATGAAAAAAGAATCTTTCACTTGAAGCAAGATAATATAATTTTTGATCTTCTAAATATGTTTTTATATCGTTTTTTATAGTTTATTTTGTTATG